GATGAATTAGATGAGAGTGATAGAGCTTTATTTATTAATTGTAAAGTTGTAAGAAATTTGAGCTATTTTTATAAAAGAAGTTTATTTTAAATCATTCTTTGTATTTCTTTTTATTTTATTTTACTCACGCACCGGGCGCGGGGTTTCCACCGACCCCCGGGTCCAGGGCGTGACAACTAGATACTAAGTTATATTAGGTTTGATAAGAGTTTAAATTAGGTTATACCTTGAGGCCCAAAACTTTGTGAAATAAGGAAAGTTTTGAAGCCAATTAAAGGGGTCCTATTTATTTCATTTTGCGTGAACCATTGCTTGATGGGCTTACAGTGTTAGTCAAGTCGGCCCTCGGTGATGAGTAGAGACGACTTGACCTAGCCCTATATAAGCTTAAGACCCTGCTCTCGTCAGATATGTTCTCTAACCCTAATCTCATCATAAGGAGAGAGCTAAAACAGTTTCTGAGAGAGCAGAAGTCTTGATCCGTTTATGTCTTTTGCCAGAGTTGCTGCTACTGCGACTGAATGAGTTCTGAGATCGTGTACTCGAGGAAGATGGTACCAGGTATGTCTTTTATATATTTCAGGTTGTGTGAAAGATCATGGACACTTATATAGAAAATCTAACAGTTGGTATTAGAGCCAGGTTACTCACACACATTGAGATCGTTTTCAAGCATGCCTTTTGCGATTTCTTTATTCGTTGATGCCATGACTATTTTGGTTATGTTTAAAATTTTGATGATAGATTCAACATATTTTCTAAATACTATGAATATTAAAGAATCTGGAAAAAGCATGTTTTAATTGATTTTTCATATCTTCAAAACTTTAAACCCGTTTTTGACCTGCTAGATGACCTTAAAATCCTAAAAATGGCCTTAAATCACTACAAAGCATTGTGTTCTGTTAGTTGCGTCATTCCCTATATGGAAAGGTATTTTGGGTTAAAAATGGACACCGAAAACCCCTAAAGCACTGTTCACGGAAGAAATACTGTTCACTGCAATTTTAGGGTTTTTTCTCAGATTGTGTTTTTGTTTGGTTATTTTTGTGCTAAATAGGAACTTGCTTTTGTTCTAAGAATCAACAAATTTTTCATAACAAAACCAAACCTAAATACTCAAACCCTAAATAAATAACCTAAATTGCATCATACCTAAATTACTTGATAAGTTTTTTCAACAAATAGAATCTATCTTGTAATCTGTTTCTGATGGCACAAAATAACACGTAATATGTTTGTAAGCTATAAGTAATCTCTTTCCATAAAGGTGTTATACTTAATTAAGGAAGCTTGCATATGTTATTTGTTAGCTTTGTGAATTAAAGTTAAACTGAAAAAATTGTTTTCTCTTAATAAATTGAGACTCAATTTCTTAGGAAGTACTTATACTTTCCTTTGCAAATCCTTACAGCATCGAATTCTTCCTCAATCAATTTCTCGCAAATTGAAACATTCACTAGATCAAACTTCAAAAGATGAAAGTTTGATTTTAAAGATATTATCAGAATGAATGAGATCGATTATGATCTCACTCATTATAGGGTTTAATAATGAGGGAGAAGGTAGTAGACAAACTAGTAAGGTTTGATCATATCAAAATTCAAGATATGATTGCAAATCCGTTCACAAAGTTTGTCTTTAGAAGCTTTTATGAGACATGTTGAGAGCATGGGATTATTTCCTAGCTTTGATGTTGCAATCTAGTGGGAGTCTTTTTCCCATTCTAATAGATTTCTAGTATGTTTAAATTTTGATGTTTTATGTATTAAGGGATTTGCATTTAAGGATGTTAATTTGGTTGACAGTTTTTATCATTAGATAATTTCTACCATTTTGACTATTTAACTATTTAAACTTATTATGCATTTTGTGTATGCATGTGAGTTTATGGTCTCTTTGAGATACTAATGTTTTAATAACATTGCGGATTGACTTTTGCTAAGTCATAAAGGGGTATGTGTATGAAAAGCATAAAGATTCACATTACAGATCAGTACATGTTAAGATTCGCGTTTGTAGGTGCTTCATGTTTTGAGATTTCATTATGTGATTATAGATGACCTGTTTTTAATAAAAGAGAGCAGTGCTTGTCTATAGTTCATTTTGTCTAATCGCTTTTCACTGTATCTTGAATGGAATGACTTAACTGTTTTAAATTCATGGCCAATAAAGATTATTAAACTTTTGCAATACAGAAGCTTAGTGCTCTAGTGCTTGATCTAGTGGGAGAATGTTATATTCCTATTTAGATCGATGCACTAGATACTAAGTTATTTCAGGTTTGATTAAAGTTTAAATTAGGTTATACCTTGAGGCCCAAAACTTTGTGAAATAAGGAAAGTTTTGAAGCCAATTAAAGGGGTCCTATTTATTTCCTTTTGCGTGAACCGTTGCTTGATGGGCTTAGAGTGTTAGTCAAGTCGGCCCTCGGTGATGAGTAGAGACGACTTGACCTAGCCCTATATAAGCTTAAGACCCTGCTCCCGTCATATATGTTCTCTAACCCTAATCTCATCATAAAGAGAGAGATGAAACAGTTTCTGAGAGAGAGCAGAAGTCTTGAGCCATTCGTGTCTTTTGCCAGAGTTGCTGCTGCTGCGATTGAATGAGTTCTGAGATCGTTGTGGGAGCGATTTCTTCCCACGAGAATATTCGATTGAAAGATTCCCCCTCTCTTCTTCGCCGCCTCTTTCTCCCTGCAAAATATATCGAAATAAAAGGACCACACCCGGGGGGTGTTGGCCAAAGGCCCTTTGATGCCTAAGTTAATTCAATTGATTCGCAGGGAATACAATAGCTAAATAGGGTACATAAATATATAGGTAAGGTGTATACCGGGTGGCCGGAGCCTTCTGTAAAAGGGAGAGAGAGTATGGCAGCTAGGGTTTGTGAGGGATAATTTCTGCAGAGTTTCAGTAGGAATTTAGACGTACCTCAACCCTTGTGTGTAGCCATCTATTTATAGGGGCCTCGGAGGCTAGGGTTTTAGAGGAATAGTTCTGTAGATGGAAAGGAATTATTCCTCCCCAATTTGGCGAGATTGGACTAATTAGGGATTTGACTTAAATCAAATCCCTAATTATGGTAGGAATCAAATCAATCCCAATTTAAATTAGGTAACTCCCAATTTAATTGGGTAACTCCTAATTAAATTGAGTAACTCCCAATTAGGTCAAATAATCCCCAAATGGAAGGAAATATTTGACCTAGGGTTTTGATTTAATTTGGTTCTCACAATGTACTCAAGGAAGATGATACCAGGTATGTTTTCTATGTATTTCAGGTTGTGTGAAAGATCATGGACACTTATATAGAAAATCTAACATAAGAAAGTTAGTGAAAAATATGCCAATAAGACAAATGAAGCAAATATGGTGGCAGAATCTAGAGTTGATATTGTTGCATTGGTATCAATGTTGCATATTGGCATGATTACTGAACTAAATATGGCAACAGTGAAGAAATCCTCTGATTGGTGGCTTGATTCTGGGGCTACTATCCATGTGTGCAATGACAAAGCTCAATTCAAGACATATGAAGCATCAATGAACAATCAAGAGGTTTTAATGGGGAATAATAGTTCCACTAAAGTTCTAAGAAATGGAACCATTGAACTTCACTTTACTTTTGGGAA